CTGTAGATGCCCTTTGATTCCACATGAAGAGCATACAGTCTCAAGGTAAGGACATTTGACACGTGCATGTTTTCCTCCACATCCCTGGCATGGCTTCATTGCTGCACTACTGCGATAGGTTGATGGCTTGTGACTACTTTGCTGGTTGTAGTTTTTACCGTTTCGTCTTATGATTTGTTGGACATGATCAGGTTGGCGTATCTCCAATGCATTTTTCGTGGCAGCTTCAGCTGTGGTAGCACGATCAATCACCTTTTGCAGCTGTAAGTCAGACTCAGCGAGCAAACTGCGTTGTAGTGCCTCGTCACGTAACCCACAAACCAACCGGTCACGCAGCATACGATCCAGAGCGGTACCAAAACTGCAATCGACCGCCAGCTTCCGTAAAGCAGCAACGTAATCAGCAAAGTTTTCATTGGGTTGCTGGTCGCGCTTGTGAAATTTATAGAACGCAGCGATTTCGGAAGGTTTAGGAGAAAAATGATTAGTCAGCGTACTTTTGATCTCCTTAAGTTTCAATTCACCTACCGGTTTAGGTGCTACCAATGATGTAAGGAGGTCAAAGAGACTCGGTCCGGCCAATGTCAAGAATATTGCTTTTTGACGCTCTCCCTCCTGTACATCATTGGCCATCAAATAGAGTTCGAAGCGTGCATAGTACGATAGCCATCTTTCAGGTTGAGCGATGTCAAACGGCTCCAGATTTCCCACAGATGCCATTGTGCACAATACTTGATTCTTTATTTCACCTTCTTCTTTCAAAGGCATTCAAAATTTTTCCCACTTCAAGGTATAGAAAAAATCTTTTGCAATGAGAATGTACGAAATCAATCCGTTACTCCCGTTAAGAAACAAGTAATACCAAAGTACAGGTAGCGCAGAATGGTGTGATAAACTTCACACAAAAACAATACCACACCCCGATGCCGTTTGCCTTTCCTTATTCACCAATTTATTTGTGAGTTGTTCTTGTTAAGTTCGTGTGCATAGAATCACGCCACAATTGGTAGGCACGTTTAAGAATATATATATATGCGCAAATTTTTCTTTTGTTTTTTTTTGGGACTACGAGCATCCCATTCTCGTCGCCAATATTAAATTTGCACTCAATTCTCTTTATTCAATATTTACATTAACTTATTACCTAATTACAAATGCGCTAATTACAAATGCGCTGTAAGAATATTTAAATGTACAGCGGCTGGCGAATGCCGGCACGGTTCAACCAAGACTGGTGCTACAACTCTCCTTGATCATAACATAGTCATGATCACTCAAACATTCGTTAAGTTGAAAGCTCTTAACAGTTGTGCCATAAGCTTGCATATTTAACACCCCTTAACGCATAGCATAGAACCCCGGTGGCTTCCTGGCCCTCATTGGAAAATCCCGCGCGGGTGACGGTGATGGGCTTGCTTCCATTGGAGCTGGCGACCGAAGCACTAAAGGAGGTGAATTCTCAGTCATCGGCGAAGCTTTTCCTGCCGGGATAGTTGAAACGGGTGACTCTGATTCAGCAGAAAGATCGTCGTTTGCGTTCTCCTCTTTGCTTTCCGATATCTCTATGTAATGATCGGAAGAGACCAAGCGAGGACGAATTTGATCTAGATGTCGCTTGATTGTTCTTCCATCTTCGAGTCTAACAGTATACGATATGGGCCCAGTTCGTGATTCAATTGTTGCTTGTTTCCAAAAGGGCCCGGATGCATAATTACGAATCCATACAGGATCATCCTTGGAAAACGTCTTGACCTTCGAGATGTGGTTATCGGTTTGTGCGGTTAATTCATGTGGATGAATTTTATCAAAATATGATTTAAGCTTCCTGTTAAACATTAGCTCTGCTGGCGACTGTCCGGTTGATGCATGTGGTGTGATGTGTTGGTTAAACAAGAATCGAACAGGCTCTAAATTTATATCGCATTTCGTAGACAGTTTTTTAAAAAACTCTTTAGTTGTTTGTACCATACGCTCAGCCTGTCCGTTTGAGGACGGATGGAATGGAGCACTGCGGATATGTCTTATCAGATTATCGTTCATAAATGACTTAAATAACTCCGAAGTGAAGGCGGTGCCATTGTCAGAAACAATAGAATCAGGTAGGCCGTGTGTTGAAAACAAGGTACGTAATGGCTTGATAGCGGCTTCTGACGATGTTGATTTCACGATAAAAACTTCTAGCCATTTAGAGTAAGAGTCTACTACAATGAAAAATTGTCGGCCCTGAAAAGGGCCTGCGAAGTCAATGTGTAGCCGTGGCCATGGAACTTTGGTCGACTACCACACGTGTACAGGAGCTTGCGAGTTGTTGTGGCGTGTAACTTGGCATGGTGTACAAAGCTTGACACGCGTTCGATGTCAGCGTCTATTTGGGGCCACCACACGTAGCTCCTCGCTAAGGCTTTCATGCGCACAATTCCAGGGTGGCTTGCATGCAGTGCATCCAGGATTACTTGTCGACCACCCGGAGGTACGATGACGCGATTACCCCATAATAAACATCCTTTTAATGTTGATATCTCAGTGCGACGTACGAAGTAGGGATATAGTTTATTTTCACGAGTTAGAGTATTCGGCCATCCCCTTAACGCCCAGCTTAGCACCATAGATGTATCGGAGTCTTTTGCTGTGAGCGAAGCGACTTGTTTAACGTCGAGCACGGGATGCGTAGTCATTTCTATCATCAACACTTCAGATGGTTCCTCATCTTTTTTTGCGTATGTGTCAACAGGAAAACGGCTAAGAAAATCTGCATTTCCCATTCTGCTCCCAGAGCGATGAATGATTTCAAAGTCGTAAGCGTTGAGAAAGATACACCTTCTAAGCATTTGATTAGAAATGACTGCGGGAATAGGCTTTGTTGAATTAAAAATACCAAGTAGGGGACGATGATCGGTGACAATCGTAAAACGCGTACCGTATAAGTAGTCGTTGAATTTCTTGACACCAGCAATAATTGCTACAGCTTCCCGGTCAATTTGTGCATAATTCCTTTCAGTTTTGTTCAACGTGCGAGAGTAAAAAGCCACTGGTCTTTCAGAACCGTCTTGCATACGATGGCTCAAGACTGCGCCAACTCCAAAAGGCGATGCATTACACACAAGCACAGGAGGCAGCTTCTCGTCGTAGTGGACAAGAACACGATCAGACACGATAAGTTGTTTGAGTTGCTCAAAAACTTCTTGATGATGCGACGTCCACAACCATTTGCAATTTTTGTCGAGCAGGCGATGCAAGGGCTCAGCAATTGTTGCTTTGTGTGGCAAAAAACAGTGGTAGAAATTAAGAAGCCCTAGAAACGCTTGTAGTTGTTTTTTATCGCTTGGTGGTGGTGCGTTTTGAATAGCTTTCAATTTC